CTTAAGCAATACAACATTCAGCTAGGGAAGTCATCGTATGATTGTTCTGCTTAGGGAATAGCTCTTACTAGTTTACAAAGCATTGGGCAATCTATTTCTCTTTTACTCTAACTAATTTTCAGAAGCTGCAATATAGAACTGCAGTGTTAGTGCAAGAATATGCTCGTCTTCACCAAGGCCTGGGATTTATATTGTAGAAATTCATCAAATTTACATCACTCCAAGTGTACCATGTCCAAATCACCTAGAGTCATTATTACGGACTTTTACATTTCTACCCAAGGAATGGCTGGGTTTCGAAGCTTGATCAACCAGAGTCTTTTACATTGAACTGCAATTAAACAAAGCAGAGTACCAGTTAAAGCCAAAGAACACAAGTACTCAGCACATATATGTTTTGATACAGTACGGTATGTATGTGTGTATATATATATATGCATAAATATGTATATGTTACATTATAAGGAGAATGCCATTCAGGAATGCCATTCTCAACTGCAAGAATCCTATTACCACCTGCAAATCTTGAAACTTCAGCCCATTAAATTTCACACCAAGACAATGAGAACTCCAATATTTTCCAGATTGAATTATTATTTCTATTTCAGCCAATTAACCAAGCAGGGCCAGCTGAAAGAACAGAAACTTTAATTTTAGTAACACCAGTTCTGCCACCTCAAGCAGATGGCACAAATTTCTATCACCAGATTATTTGCCCCTTCCCTGCCCTGCAGTTGTGTATCATGGTCATTTCTGAGTTCTCAGACCATCACCAGAGTCGTACTAACTGATCTGTATCAATTTGTTCAGTTGCCAGAGAAAATGCCACAATGTTTGAAAGAATTTCAAACAGCCAGTACAGTTCTCACGAGAACATAGCAGTACTGGCTGGAGTCATATTGTTTTTAATCATGTAATGGTTCTGCCTTTTACCAGCAAGCCCACTTCTACTCATGGTGGCTGTCACCATATGTACAACCTAAGAATTGGACAGTTTGGGATACCATACTATTCATTGTAATCCTAAAACCCAGAGCTTATAAAGGTCTGCTGTACAAATTTCACATATAGAGCTGAAAAAAGTCCCATTTAAATAACTTTGAGCAGGAGGTTTCATTTGTTACTTTTTTAAAAAGAAACAGGAGCAACAACAACAACAAAAAAGGCAAGAATAAATTTAACAAGCACTTAAGAGCAAAGTAAATGCAAAACCCCTTTGGATATTTAGATGAGGGGGAGCTACTCACACCTCCCCCCCCCCCCCCCCCCCCCCTTGCCTTTAGCCTATCTAGAATTTAGACATCTAGCCCAAACTAATCATTTGTGCTTCCTCCAGTCTTGAGGAGACAAAAGCTTCCTTCTGGAAGCTGTCACATCCTCAAATAGGGCAAATGAGTCTCCAGGAATGGCAGACCCTCTGCAACCACAGGGAGAGTCTAAGCAGTTAGCTACGTTACCTGCCACTTACACAGGTGAGACAAGTCTCTCTCTCTCACTCTTCACATAAGCCACTAACATAAATCCTGAAGGCTTTGCTTGGTTCCTGCATGGAGAAACTCACCAGCTTCAACAGGGCAAGGGTTTGCTTTTGTGTTTTTGGGAGGCAGAGGGGAAGGTTGGTCGGCAGTCCAATCTCACACCAACGTTGCTCTGACCACTTGCACTAGCCGCTCAGCCACGATGGTTCATGGCCAGTTTGCCCACGTACAACCACCTGTTGGTTACGCAGCATCAGGCAACAAGGGCAAAGGGTGCAACATGTTTTCCTAACACCCAGAGATGCGTCTCAATCTACACCTGCCTCAAGGCAGGCAGCGGAGGGGGAGGTGCTGATCTCCTCTCTGTGGTGACCAGCGATAGGACACGAGGAAATGGAATGAAGCTGTGTCAGGGCAAGTTCAGATGGGACATTAAAAAAAGGTTCTTCACAGAGAGGGTGGTCGGTTACTGGAACAGGCTCCCCAGGGAAGTGGTCACGGCACCAAGCCTGTCAGAGTTCAAGAAGCATCTGGACAACACTCTTAGTCATATGGTTTAGTTTTAGGTAGTCCTGCGAGGAGCAGGGAGTTGGACTCAGTGATCCTTATGGGTTTCTTCCAACTCGAGGTATTCTATGATTCTAAGTTGAAGTAACTTGACATTCTCCTAGACACCAAACTAGCTGTGCTGCCTCTTCATGGGCATGTATGTTACTGAGCACAATCCTCCAAATTTCTGCTGGGACTAGAGAGGTTCAATGAGGGCTAGAACTACTCTGTCAGGTAAGCATAGGTCTTACACACACATTAAAGTTATACAGCTTTACAAACAGGCTAACATAGATAAAACAGTAGACCCCACCTAGTAGGACAGTATTTATAATCTATGTGATTGCTTACTCTGGTACACCTTCTTACAGCAGGGAAAGGAGAACAAGATATATTGTCAAATTCACCCACATATCAGTATAAGATTATTTGAATTTCAAAAATCTAACAAGGCCCTATCAGAGAGTTAATTTTTTTGTTCAAAATTAATCAAGCACGTGCTACTGAAACACTATGAGGAGTTTTGCATGTAATTCCTTATGGGAAAGATTTGGTTTTTAAATAATCAAGAACAAGTTATATTTTCTTTTAAATAAGCAAACAGTTCTTTGTCCCTAACTCTGGGAGCAAAGCTATCTCTATCCTTTCTTCACACTGCTGTGTTTCAGTATTGCTATGTCCCCTGAATTACAGGGCTATCGCATGTAAGGGGATACGGTACAGGCTATACTCATGGCAACTTCAAGATCTTTTTTAAACCATTCTCACCAGGTCAGATTCGCCTCTCTGAATTGCATGCCAACAACCACCACACCAGATATTAGGCCAGTACTACAGAACAGGATGAAAAAGCACAGCCAACATGCATCTTCTAAAGTACTTTCCACAAAATAAACCAAACAGCTCCTGATACACAGGGGCACGTTGGTCCCACCTACTCACAAACACAGCTAGAATTTATTCCCTGTTTTGGAAGGCAGCTGTAACTGTGTGGTCACAACCTGGATGCCTCAGTGCCCAGGGCCAGGGGCTCCCCAGCTGCCCCCCTCCACGTGCACAGCGGTGCAGAGCAGGTTGCAGAGCCAGGGAGGCAACACCGGCACCAAGGCAGGGTTGAGCTTGACATGGCCTCACCTTCCTCTCAAAAAGATGGTGTTTCCCATCATCCACAAAGGCATATCTTCCCCCAAAGCTCCCCCCAGCTTCCCTGTCTGACCTCCCTCACTCCAGGAGACCATCTACAACTTCCTCATCTACACAACCTGGTCCTCAATAAAGAAGCTTCAAGCTCCTTCACTTCAGGGGGACGAATCACCATGTCCCAAAGACTGGGCATCCTTTTTGGGGAAACACTACAATTCATGTAGCATCTAGGACAGCAAGTTGAGCAAGATCGTGCCTAAGTAGGCAATGTTACTCAATTAGCTGAGTTGGCTGAAGGTTTTCCCATTGTAACACGATTTTTCTATTCTAGTATTATTTTTGTTGTAAAAAAAAAAATCAGTGGGGATGGGTGGGGTTTTTTGCGCAAAACTTCATGCTTTTAATGAAAAAAAGGTTGCTTTTCTCAACATTTTGCTGTTTATTTCTGTTGGGAAAACTTGAAACACATCGTTTTTGTCAGAGAAATATCGGTCCGTGTCTGTCTGAATTCCTCCAGTGTCAGCTGGGAGCTGTAATTCATGGGCTCCATGTCCCCCTCTTTCCCAGAAGGCTGGGTTCCTGGGCACCCCTCCAGCCTTCATGACGCATTCCCCCTTTGACTAACCCATGGTAAGAGCATCATGGGATCTGTAACCCAGCCAAAGAGCTGGGCCCCAAGGGAGAACCGGCGCACAACGCACTTGAATGGTAATTTCTGAGGTCTGCAACAGTAGCTCAAACTGATGCTGCTTTAAGGGCCAAATGGATTTAATTAAACGTTTCCATTTCAAAAGCCTAGAACATTTTATTCAGCGTTTTCCAGCTGACCATTTCTCATTTTTTGAAAAATTTTCATTCCAGGAAAATTTTTGGTATTTCAGCTTTCCATCTCAATTCAGGATGAAATTAAATGTTCAAATATCAGCATTTGATGCTATATGGACATTCTGTTTGGGAAACAGCCTTATTAATTAGCTGCCAAAAGTGAAATGACTCCATCCATGCAAGAAGGGTGTGATCCAGTTTGCCTTTGACATCAGTGGAAGCCACTTTTTCAGCTTAGTGGAGCTTGGATGGAATCCCAAAAGACCAAGGGAGGGTGGAGTTGACCATAGTTGCAGATATCGGAAACAGGAGTCAAGAGTGAAATAGCAAGAATACAAGAAGCAGCAACTAAGATGATCTGTTACCTGGAATCAATCAAAACCCAGTTTTACTTACTTTAGTGAGTAACAGGAGGAAAAAATCATTAAGATTATAAAACCTAATTCCTAGTTACAGTAAAGATAGCAGTTAATCAATGTTTTGTAGAGTAGAATAAATCCATAGTATGAATTTGTCATGAGCTCTGTAACTTTCAATGTTCAAAACATTTCCTCAGAAAACCTTCATATATTCCATTCAAGGAGACTACTGTAAAGCTAAAGATATAATATGGTACTGAACTGCTTGCCTCAGGTTGTCTGTCCTCCCTCAAACTTCACAAAATTGTTCTGTTGGATTGGTATTACAGACGGACGAGGTCTCTGGACTTTGAGCACATCTACAGGTGGAAAGCAGCTAAGTGCGGACTTCCAGGGTTGACACTCTGGGTGAGGACTGGGCACCAAATCTATCCTCTGCATTGCCCAGTCTGTTTCTAGATTTAGCCCCAAGCCTTCCACCTCAAAGAGTAAAAGAGTCCCAGGGAGCCTATGTCCATCAGCAAAAGGGTGTGTGTTGAAAGCAAGAGAGCACTCAGAACAGTAAATAAATCAATTCACCCAACCATGAGGCATCTAGAGAACTGGTTTTTGTTTATCTTTCATTTCCCTTTAGTACAAAGCAGATGTTTCTAAGTAATAAGCAGAAGCCTCGACAATTTTTAAGACTGAAGAGGAAGGGAGGGAAGAAGAAACATGTACAAGCTTTGAGGATGTTCTCAGCTCCAGCTTCAAAAAAATCCAAAAACAAAACCACACACCACCGAAAATGTATATCTGTAAAAGCAAGTTTTTCCTTAAGCTCTTTGGTAATTCTTAGTTTATAGGAGTGTTTTATCCAGAAGAGTCTTCATGTTTCCAGTCTAGGTTGTAGCAATCTCAGTGAGGCACTAAATTTTAGGCTGTTAAAGTCTTTCTGTGCAGCACGGTCATTTTAAAATGATGTGGTAGCCATCATTGCTTTCAGCTGTAACAAAGAAGTGCAAAGCATTTTTTCATTGCTTTTAGAAAACAGCACAGATATAGAACTCCAGATTTTCTTCTTAGGTAGTTTGCAACAGTTTGTACTCTTGTTCCACAACCCATTCATGAAAATCAATGTTGAATATCTAGGTCAAAGCATTTATACAAAAAACCACAACATACTAACTGTCATCTTTTATCATTTTACTAGACGGTTTTCTGCTCATTTATGTCAGTGGTATCAGTGGATTTATGGATGTTTTATAACAGTGTAACTGAGAGGAAAGCATAGATCAATCATAGTGTAAGTTGATGCAACACCTTGACTTACACTAAATTAGATTATTTATCTTTTCAGGATAACAGCACTGAGTTTGTGATAACGTTTAGTGCAATTGAAAGGAGAAATTATCTTTAGAACTACATGTAACAGCAGCAGCAATACATACCTTTTAATGTGCTGATAACAAAACAAGATTCATCTTGGAAGTTTTGCACCATCTGAAGGGCAGGGCAGAAGGAAAAAAGCCAACACAAAATATTTTTAGCAATTTAATTCAGGTTTCTTTCAGTGACAGTATAGAATTTAGAGGAGAGTTATCAAACAACATTTAGTATCTAGTCCTACACAGTCCTGAGTAACCCTGCCCATAAGATTATTAAAGTACACGACTGAAAGGTCCTTGCAGCTGCTCATGTGCTCAAAAGAAACTTATAGTAAAGTGCTTGCCTGGAACTGATCTGGCTTGTTCAGCATTTTACCATCCCCTTTGCAGCTCATGATCCTGCAAGTTCTTACACCACTCCAGTTAGTCTATTAAAGAACATGCTCTTAATTGCTTTCAATGTAGGTATAATAGTTTAGACTGGACGAAGACAGTCCCTCTCCTAAAATCTAGCAATGGTAATACACACACACATTCAGCTGAACCATGAAGCTTCGTTGAGCTTAAATGGGCACCTGGGATAATATCTAGAGGTGGTCAGCCCTAAGAAATGGACTCCTTGCTGAATAAAGGAATACTGTTACTACAAAGACATCTCAGCAGTGTTCACCTGGTTATTTTGACCAGACATTAGTATAAATGCTGTGATTGCAAGAATCATTTACCTGTTTGTATTTTGTCAAGGCACAGGAATCTTAATGAAACTGCTATGAGAGGCAAGGCAGATCATGGGAAGCAAGATCAGTATCTAAAGCTATTTGAGTTATTCATGACCAACAACTAGATTTTCAGAACACATTCAGGTTCTAGTGAGCCCCCTAACTAAAGAGGTGAGTTAAGAGAGTCAGCTGACTTCAGATCCAATCTGAAATACTCATTTAAGCTTCATCATTAGTCAATGCTTCCTCCCATCTTAGAGCAGCTGTGTGGGACAGAGGAGGTGAATTACCTTCAAGAGGTGTCTCATACAGTTGGAGCAGATGATGGACACCTAACTTCAGAGGGCAGGTGACCATAACCTCTCTGATCAGTTCAGAAAACTCAGCTTTAAGCAAAAGCCTTCTCCTAGCTATTGAACATCATTCAAGTAGAGCACTTTCCAGCTGTAAGTTCTCCCACCAAATATCCTTTTCATCTTAGACTAATCTCCCTATTCTCTTTTGGGTTTAACATCCACCCCCTGCTCCTGCAAATCAAACTTCACTGGTCAGTCTGTGTGTCTGTGCCTGATGATGCATGAAGTACATTAATGGAGTGCCTCATTCTTGCCACTATAGTACTAGAACAAGAAAAAAATTATAAAAAAAAGCAATAGACATTGTTAATAATTGACTTAAATAAAGACTTAAAGCCTTATACCCAAGTTGGTTCAGGTAATTCCCCTACCAAGAGTTGCCTCCAAGCACTTTACATCCATAAAGCATCAAGGTTTCAGATTTAATCAGGCTGAAATAGCAAGGAGACTTAGGAATAAGCATTACAGCCTTGAATTTAGGCTCCAGTTGAGACCTATGCTCTGCTTCATTTGTTTTAACAATGTTTCTTATAAACGAAGCTCCTTAAGTGATTCTGGTGCATGAATGAGTAAGTAATTTAGTGGGGGAAAAAGAGGAAGAAGGGCAACTCACTATTAACCTGCAAGTTAATGGAATGGACTAAATTAAGCCGTCATATAATGGGACACAAACAGCTAGCAGAGGTCCATGAAATTATAGTGTGCACTTACACAGCACTGACTCAGACCCAGCGGCTGTAATCACTGGCCAAGATGTAAGACTAATTGCCCTAAAGATTTTCAAACTTGCCCTCTTTAGAAAACTTTCCTATTCAATTTTAAAGGTTCTCACTTTAGATCCTTACTTCAGAATTTGTTTAAGTAGCCAACATGAAAAGAAAATGACTGGTTTTGTTGTGTTTTGGTTTGTTTTTAAAAAAAAAAAACAAAACTCTTTTAGAAAGCAAAGATCTTAACACCACACCAAAATCAATGGTATGCATGAATGATTTGCTTTAAGTATTTGCTTTAACTTGTTGGGATTAGTAACCTTGCAAAGCTTCCTTGAAGATTCATTTCATAATTTAAAAGATCACTCTAACTTCAAGAAGTCAGACAACTGTTACAGCACTGACAGTTTGCATTAACTCCTTACCTCATTGCTCACTAATACATGGATCCCTGTGGGTCCTTGCCGATAGATTCGATTTATCTGCTGTGGAGAAATGCTGTACAAGTTTGCAATCTTCTCGATTAACTCCAGCGTGGTCAATTCTTCCAAGAAGATTGCATGATATACTGCAACAAGTTGAAAGCAATTACAGAATTACAGAGTAATTATAGAATAGCAACTACCGATAACACCAGGATGTTCAATATCAACAACCAAGGGTCAAATCTTGACAGCAGATAACAAGCTTAGTACCTTTAAAACAGCCCCCAAATATCCAGCTTGATGATTTGTAGAAAAATACCCAGTATTTGGACGCAGTGGGCAAATAAAGCACACGGCACTTTTGCCCAGAGGAAAACACAGCGACTAATGACAACATGTATCGTGGGGCACTGAAAAAAACACTCTCAAAGATGTTAATGGTTTTGGATAATCTACTTTTACCAATTTTGACATTTTAAAGTAGATCCAATTAAATAGTAAAACACATGATATGATGTTACACAAAAGTAGTATTTTATTAGATATTATCTCACTGACACCATAGGCACGAACTACAGACTACAATGCATCAAATAACTGTAGATGACAGTATTATTTTTTAAATCCAATCCAAATGGTAGAAACAACCAGGCAGAAAAGCTCTGCCTGGTTAATGCTACACACAAGAACTGAGGACAATCTCTATTCTCATTTGATTGTACATCATGTCATGAGGGATAGTTAAGAGCCATGAGTCCCCAAAAGCTTCGAACTTCCAAGAATTAGAATCTCACTTTAAGATGTACCGACCTTCCATTTCCCAGAATATTTTCAAACAAGCCATAGTCTAAAGAAAATTGTGGATGGGAAGGTAGTTTTTAATGCTATGGTCCCTATTAAGAACTGAATAGAGACTTTGCTGTGGCATTCTGCAAATAGCTTGTAAGTTGGGTCTGTTTCCCAGGCAGATAATACCAGTTGGAATCTGTAGCCCTGAAACTAACCAAGGTGTCAGAACTGGGATAAACTGGACCTCTTTAAACATGCAGCACACCAAGCTGTCCCACGTAGGAGCTCAGGCAGAAAGCAGCATTCTCACCAGATAAGTGTTTAACAAAATCCATACATAAAAACTTACCACAAAGACTGCCATCTCCATTTTCTCGTTTTTGGTGGAGATGGGACCTGTTTTGCTCTGGTTCTTGACAGACATAAATTGTCATCTTGGGCCTTACATTTCTATGGATTATTAAAAAACAGTAGTGAGTTATTTAGTAGATCTAACATTGTTCCAGTCAGCTAGCAAACACTGAGAGATGGAATCATTCAGGCTGTGCATAAATAACCAACTAAGGGATAGTCTTGATGCTGGTGACTAGATGTCTTGGGAGGTCTAGTAACAGCCCCCTGGGAGGTGGTGGTACCGTGTAGAGCACCTTAATCTCTTCAGGATCAGACAAGAATGAACAGTTTTCAGCACTTGCCAAACAGTTCATCATACCTGCCTTTACTGATTTGAATCCTGCCCAGCTGGAGAATTTATGTTATTGCCATATAAGTAAATTTAAGAGTCATTTGAGGCTCCAGGGGTTGGTTGGTTTGTTGTTTGTTACCTGTGATGGAGATGCAAGACAGGGTATGGTAGGCTGTGTCTCATATAAAGTGGATGGAAGCTATCAGCTGGTAGTAAATAAACCACTGGAGATCTACATGATGATGCTTCATTTTGGCAACATTTCTGAGCTGTGCTTGGATTTGAATACCATTGTGATCTCCAGCCTCTGAGATGACCTCTCTGAAGTGTTAAAAGGAGGTCTAAATGTTACAGCTCCAGGATTAACTTCTAGTTAACACTGAAATTATCAAAGGATGCTGCCATAACAAAAAAATAGGAAGGAAGACGTACAAACCTTCCTTTGATTGCATTAAAGAGCCGAATTCCATCAGCAGGCCCACAGATTTGAACAAAATCTTCTTTGGACATCTTCAGTAAGTCAGCACCTACATATTTCAAATTGATTTTTTTTCAGAAGTTAAGCAAATCTTAGCTTCCAAATTGTGTGTATGGGCAGCAGGAAAGGGCAGGGGGAGAGAATCCACAAAGCTAATCAGACAGATTTGCCTAGAGAAGTTGCAAATTCAGAGAGGTGTACACTGCAAATCAATCACTGTGAAACAGAGACCTAGAAGCTGCCAAAAGAGGAGTGCTGCACTGGAAGATATTCTAGCCAACTCGGACACAAGCTAGACATCTAACATTGGCCATTAAATGGCCCAGTTTTCTCTAACTGCCACGTTCACCAGGTTTAATCATGTTGCAAGTCAGATAGAGGCTCCTCAAGGTTTCAACACCTTTAACAACTCCCCCTTCCACCATCTTACTGCTGTGTACAACTACCTAATGGGAGGGTACAGTGAAGATGGAGCTGCAGATGGAGCCAGACTCTTCTCAAAGGTGCACAGGGACAGGATGAGAGGCAGCAGAGAAAAGATGGAAGATGGGAAACACTGATTAGGTATAAGGAAAAACTTTTTCACTGTGAGAGCAGTCAAGTATTTGAAGAGGTTGCTTAGAGAGATGACGTTGTTGGATTTCCAACCTTGGAGATACTCAAACACAACTGCACAAGGCCCTGGACTTGCTTCAAGCAGGGGGGTTGCACCTAATGAATTCAGGAAGTCCCTTCCATCTTAACTTATTCTCTTCCATCTTAACTTATACTATATTTCTACAAACTGTTTTGGCAAATGCTAACTAATCTAGAACAAAAGAACAACCACACTGGATCAGACCAGTGATCCCATCAACAGTGGCCAGCAGCAGATGCTATTGATATGAAGCATGAGCTGCACTTACAAAAGAGAATAACGACAAAATAATTGGACTGTTTAAACTCACCCGAAAAACTTGAGAAGAGTCTACAGAATGGAGAGAACCTATTACGATGAAGCCACTGCTGGGCATCTTGAATAGAAGCAGAAGGAAGGAGATGCTACATTGCAAAAAGAATAAGAAGGTCTTGAAATGAACTGTTCACCAGTGTCCTAAAAAAGAAAAGCACCACATTAACATGATCTCAAGTACTTACATCATTGCTGGGAGGCAGGAGCTCCACTTGGTGGGTTGGAGAACTGTTGCTAAAAAAAATTATATAAAGTTGGAAGAGAAAAAAAACATTATTTTAAATTTTACATTGCATTGTCCATCTTCTTCCCCCTCCTCCATTTGACTCAACTGTCACAAATTACATACCAACTTGGCTTTTTTCTCTATCAGATTTTTAAAAAGGTGTCCAAAAAGTGGACCAAGAAAAGAAAAAAAAAAAAAATATCAAAAAAAACCCCAAAAAAACCTCTACTTGAGCCTTTTGTTGGTCAGTTGAGGTCCTACTCAACACTGAGAGAAAGACTCAGTTCTGACCTCATTCAAGCTTTTCCATACAGGTGACTCACTAATGTGATGCCATCAAAGCAAGGAAGTTGTGACCAACTAGTGTAGCTGAACTGAAACATTCTATGAGCCAGAGATCCTCTAACTAAATCCACTCTCTAATAATGATTCTTTGCAAAAAATTAATAAAGAACCTTGTAGTTCAAACCTGGTCTTATTTTAAACATAGTAGATCTCAATTTAACTATATTAGACAAAACCACATTTCCACTAAACTCTCTCAAAACATAGACAGGACTTTAACACATCAAGGATTTTTCCAAAGAGTTAATAATCTATCATTGGAAGAAAATGCTCAAAAGATCTCTCTACTAACACCAATTTTTGTCATTTCAGTGTTTGTCCTTATTCATAGGTTGAGGTTGCTCATTGAAAATTTGTGATACAACATTGATTAATTAATGAGTGGGAAGGTGACAAGGCTGTAGAGTCCTAGAGGAGGAAAAGAAAGGCCTGTGCCAAATTCCTACAGGAAAATATGTTGCAGAGAGGACTCAAAAGTACTAAGGGACTGTGCTGTGTATTTCTGTCATCAGCTATCATCTTGGGTGTTTCTTTGTGATGGCTATATTAATGAATTAAACATGCCTTCTGTTAATTCTTTGTTCTGAAATGGCTTCTCAGAACCCAGGCTGTTTTGCTCCAGACAGGCTTTCTTTAAATCCCATTCAACTGGGAATTCAGCACCCCAAACCAACTCAAGACAGAAAGGAAGGAAGAAATACCAACTCTGAAGAGGTACTGAAGGCTGAAAGCCTCTAACACTCTTGTCAGAAGATACTGGGAATTGCTGGTACAGGACATGGTGTGTTCTCTGACCCCTACAGAAGAGTAAGAGAGGAAATTCACGGCAGAAATTGCCTTGGTGGTCCTCTGATGCTCACCTCCCATAAGCAGTGAACATACGAATAGTACTCTGCATTACAGGGAATTCCTGGCTGGAATATCTTAAAAGTCTTTGTGGGAAATATTTTCCCCTTTCTAGGAAGGGTGGTCCTTGACCTCTTCTTCCAGGGTATGAAATGCATGGACACACAAAACGCATGCACACAAAGGCTACCGTATCAACAGGAAAGATAAAGCATTTATTTGTTACATACCCATCTCCAAGGTTGAAGCTGTTGGGAGAACTGTTGTAGCTTGGAGATGGAGCATTGTTCATTTGATAAGGCACATCTGGCCAGGGAGAGCACTGTTGGAAGAAAGGCAGCGGGGATACTTTCATAAGGATGGAAATAAAGGATTCAATTCTCCTCTCATACCACATTCATGCTGTTGCCACGCCACTAACTTCAGCTCATCACTCCTGCTGGGAGGAGGAGACGGGCCATGGATTTTCTACGCTGCTCTCCAAGCGGGCTGTCAGGGGGCCAGATTGGTTCCAGTTGTGCATTCCACATTTCTCCCATTTCACAAAGCCTGTCCCCAAATAACATTGGGCCAAAGTGTGCACAGCTGTAAGTCAGAGCAACGCCAGTGTCAACTCAGACTGAAGGCAGCAATGATACAGAAATACCCCTGGTCTCAATTATAAATCCCTAATTAAATCCAGGCAAGAGTGACAAATACGCTCCAGTGGCATTGCTTCAGGTTTATACCAGTGAAAGAGGAGAATTTGAACCAGCCTGTTAAAACCTCTGGCTATTAGTCAAAGAGCTCGAGTTATAAATGGGTATTACAGGGAGAAAATTTAAGATAGATGGACAGACATGAAGTCTTCACAAATATAGGTCAAACTCCATATTCTGCTACAGTAGTGTAAAACCAGAGTAACCCAGCTAGAATTGGTGACTCTGTTCTGAATTTAAGCCACTGTAATCAGCAGGAGAAATCTAGCCCTGTGGAACGCCCCACCATTAAGAGCTCAAGAAAATGCTCTGTAGTATCTTTGTTTGCAATGATAAAAAGAAGACAAGCATAGCTTTGGAGTTTTATCATCTCCACAAATACTAGCAAATATTTTATCATCTCCACAAGCACTAGCAAATATTTAACTCTTTGGCAACCCACATTTCCCCATGCAATATGTCAAAGTGCATCAGAGCTCATAGGAAGAGTTTGGGATCTGCCAACTCAGCAGAATTAAGTCTGTGTACACAAGAGCCTTGTTAACAACCACCACGTTGAATTAGAAAACATGCTGGTCACTCCTGGCAACTTGAGGAAAATTGAGTGGGAGGGACTGGATCTCACAAACAGGAAGTTTATTTAAATTAAGAAAACCCCCTCATTTTTTAGAAGTCCAGCAAGCCACTTCAAAAGAACAAGAACTAAATCAAGCAACAAAATATTCCCATAGGGAGACGGAACAGCACTTTTAAACCACTGTCTTGAGTCCTGTTGCTTAGTAATTCTGCAGCCTGAGGTAAGCTTATATATACATCTTAGTAATGGCACGGAGGGCTAGAAACACATACATCTCAACACCAGATGCATCAGAACATAAGACATTCAAGATATTCCTAGAGTGCAAGCCAGAGATCTAGTATGTACTAGTAGCCTCATAGGCACATTCATAGAAAAACAGATTAATAATTCAATCAGACAGCCTATTCATCTGTTCAAGTGCCCCATCTCCAACATGAGCTTTTGCCAGACAGTTCTGAAGAAAATACCTCATACAAGCAGCATCTAAGTGCCATGACAAGTGCCCAGGAGCACGGCAGAAGATAGAGAAAATGCTTCTTTTAAAGCTAGGCTGTTAAGGATTGATTTATACCCTGAAATATAAGAAACTTTGGCATCTTTTATAAACTTCAACAGTGAGAGACATTTTATAATTTCACTCAGGTCTCCGTTTCAGTCAGATCTGGGCATACGTGTCTCCAACAAGACAATCTCCAAGGCTCAGTTAGACTGCATTTTCTCTCAAATCTATCTCCCAACATGCTGAAGCAGTACAACATGTATCTAAAACGCTTTACCTCTGTGAGAATAGTTGTCTCATAGGAAGGCTGATACTTCTCCTTCTCTTGGGTGGTCTTCTTCTCCATTTTTTCCCTGTCAGTCTTCTGTTTTCTGTCTGCTCCTTTAGGCTATAAGCACAAGCACAAGCTTTCCCTTATGCCAAGTATTACAAGTTTGGAGACAGAGGCCAACAGATTTTTTTTTCTAATCTGTTCACAAAAGTCTCCTTTAGATTTATGGGGACTCTACATATGGAACAAGATCAGATCTGCATTTTCTAGACAAAAAAAAATTAGTCAAGCTCTCTACTGTTTCTATAACATCCCCCATTAATGCATATTGCAATTCCAAAATAGGCTGACCACGGTTCTGAGATTTGATACCAACTATTTCAGACCATGAGCCCCATGAGTTATGCACTTTGACTGGTATTTGTACCATCTCTCCAGGAACAGGAAAGACACTGCTCATGGGAGCAAGACTGGAGCAGCAGATCCTTTGAGAAAACAGGCCTATGAAAAGCTTGTTATTAAGTGACTACAGGTCTGCCATGCCCCAATTAAGAGCTTCAGAGATGAACAGAATCATCTTTCTCTCCTCCAGATAGCATGGAGAAGAACTCTGCTGCAACCAGCAAAGGGTATTTAAGATCTCCAAGACATACTCTCAGTGTTCATGGAGGACTGAATCAAAGAATCTGGAGATGCCCATACTGTCTTGATTGCCTAGGAGCACCAAAATACAATGAAAATCAATCAGTGTAATATGTTGACTCAAAATCACTTAAACCTACTGGTTCCCAATATTCCTGAGAAACTGGACCATATTTTGTATAGTTTGCAATACATATCATCTTCAGGACACAAATTAATAAGGGTCAGTGCCTTCTAGAGACTACTTGTCTATATTACACAGAAATTTATTTTGTGCACTGATGCCTCTCCAATGGGTTTCTATTCCAACCAGTCGAGGTTTGGGTTGTTAGGGGGCTTATTATTATTATTATTATTATTTTATTATTATTATTATTATTATTATTATTACATCCACACTACACAGATCTCGGTATTTATACAGTGTTCAAGGCACAATGGACTGGGGTACGTCTTGATGCAACACTTGGGTCATTTGAATTTAACTAGAATTGCTGTGTAGCCGCTCAGGGCTTGTGTCACTGTGAGCAAGAGTCCTGCTTAAGATACTAAGCATACCCAGTTAAAAGTCTGTTCTTTTACCCCACTGTTTGCATCACTCCTACACAATTTAAAAACTGTGCATGTTCCTGTGTCTTTGCCTAATTCAGTTGATGACAAAGCTAAAACTATCTCATACCTTGAACACTTTGATCTGGCAGCTTGCAGAATGCAAGTGTTCTGTGTATTCACCATTTTCATTCTGCTTAAAGGTGTCGATTTGCACCCGGAAGGGCACCCCTTTCTCTCCTCCATGCTTCCGTGGAGTAAATTCTGTGCTGATGCAGTGTACCTGGCAAAACAAAAGCTGTGCTCATCTCTGGAGACAGTTGGAAGCTGTGCAAATCTGAATTTCAGACTCCCTGAACTTGCAGGGTGCCTGAACATGAGGTTTTGGCTCTTCCTGAGAAACTAAGAGAAACAGAAGAGTTCAAAATGTTTTCATTTCTGTTCCTCAGGACAAAACAAATAGAAGAAGAAGGAGCCCGGAGAGAAATGAGACATCAGGAAAAGCATCCTTTGATTTAAGTAAATCCCACATACAGATTAAAAACAGATAGTTGGCGTTTAGGATAAGAAACATTCGTGAAAGAGGAAAGCAAGCAAAACTAACAGGTTATGAACAGTTTGCTCCAGACAAAACGCATGCTTAGAAAGCAACATCCTTTTTTTTTTTTAAAAAAAGAAAATCCTAGCTGTAGCGGATAGTACTCCAAAGCTAGCAAGTAGCTACCAAGTTGGTTTAGCAAGTATCCTGCAAATTAACTATACATGATTGTCGCTTGAGTTTGTATATTATCATCAGCATCTTTCTCTCTTCTTCATGTTCTGGCTACATTAACTCTCCAGGTCTTCATAAAATATCTCACCATTGTATTTACCACAGGAATATCACTTTTCTCTTACCTGAATGAATGCTGAGGCTCTCTTTGATGGATCCCACAGAAATTCAACAGTGTTCAACTGTGTGGGGCTGGCCCTGGGATCCAAGATACCAACTGACAGCGGAATATCTGTAGAAGAAAACCCCTAAAATTTTAAAAATATTAAATTGATGAAGAGAAAGCATTTCCATACAATTACAAGATGCATGTGAAAAGCCAAGCCACTAATGATATATCTATTTGGGACCTATAGTGCTAGATCTTGTTCCCACCCAAAGACATACAGGATTCCTTAGACAGTAGGATATAAAAAACCTAAACACAAACACACCATACATCATTCAGCACCTTGCTTCCAAACACTGCACAGGAACCATAATGAAATAGTCTCACCTATATCAAGGATGCGGTCCCCAGGTCGACTCCACCTCCAGCCCTCGAGCTGTTGATGCTCTGTGTACTGCAGGCGTCGATCATGGAAAACTACACGAATTATGCTCTGTTAAGAAAAGATGGCAAGATTAACAACGTGATCCAAAGGCCTTTTTCTTGAGATGACTTTGGTTTTCCAGCGTAGATGCAAAAGCTGATCTGCTATGTTTCTCACCCCCATTTATGAGGGGAGCAGAGGGTCCACCTAAGAGACCCATTACCGTTTTTATCAAATTCCTAAGGGACCCCTGAGTGAGAGAGCAACACACTTTCCCCTTCACAGTGCATGTCTACACTGCGTAATGCAGCTCTGTATAGCTTTCCGGGATTCGGTCTGGAAGCACTATAGCAATGCCCACCTAATCTTAGGTGTCATGCCATGTAAACATCACTATACTGCCTCCACACCCAAAATGGCTCACACGGGGGTAATATTTAATGTGTCTATACCATGCCCCAACCCCGTTATACCCCACTCTGACTAGCAAATGTGAAAGCCACCTGTCCCTGCACCGGTGGAGCTGACATGTCCAGACACCTTGTCAGTGGGAATTAAACTTGATTCCAGCCATTAACAGCCAGTCATTGGCACTGGATTACCAGTACACTGGTAAACTGCCCCACTACACAGTTAAACAAGTGTAGAATAGGAAAGCTTCCGTAACGAGAATTTTCGTCTCTAGCCTGCAATGGTTTAGCCATGTCAATAACTGGAGAAAAAAGGCTGGAATAAGAGCAATCCCCAGGGCAGACAAGTCCAAAGTACCCCTAACTAATGCATCCTTTTGTATATTTGGAGTGCTACACTAGCATGAGTCAATGACTCCTTACTTCCCAGTTTCTCAAGTCCATGCTCCTGCTGGGGACTTCTGTATCAAATGGGAGTGAGCAGTTTTTGCCAATGAACCTGAGAAATGCTCAAATCAAACCCTAGCTCTAAGTAGCAAGCAAGCCACAGTGGGAACACCTGCAAAATTGTTATCCCAATCCACACGCTTCCTGAAATGGGCCAAAAGACAATCAGGGAACTGCCTAAACTTGGACAACATTTGAAATCCAGATTGGAATCCAAATTTTGCAACTAGTCCCCACTTCTCAAAAGAAATCCTGAGGCAGAACAGACAAGAATTTGGGAGAGGAAGGCTTGAAGGTTGGATCCAGAACCAACATCCGGACCCAAGTTCTTGAATTTGAACTGTTTTGGGAGGTGGTAAACAACAAAAAAGTCCCCAGAACCAAACAACCAAGTTATGTATGTTCATAATTATGCCCATTACCAAAGTAAACTGGAGCTATACAGAATCTGCATGGCAGAACGATGTAAACACCGGGGTCCTCCATTTGACATGTAACAACCCAGGCCTTTTGCTGGGGTTAAGAAGGGAGACAAGTCTGCCTCTCAGTGGTTTTGACCATGTTCACCTCTGAACTTTGGGATTCCCCTGAACCCAATATTCACAGAGAAACTCTGGGGTCATGATCAAAAACAGAATAAAGGTTCCCCTGAAGCCCTGTAAAGCCAAGCTGCACAGTCCCGTGAAACTAGCACTCAACAATTCCATCAGCCCTGCTCCCATTAAAAACAATGGCAAAGGATTTTCCATTGTCTCAGTGTGAGCAAGGTCAGGCCCTTCATTAGAGGCTGTATGTAGTAGCAGGAAGAAAAGAAATCTATATTTCTCCTTACCTTTACATATTTTGTGTTTAAATCTTGAAACTCTCCCAATTTCCTATTCTCAAGTAGACGGATTTCATAAGACTGACCTAGAGTTTAAGGAAACATTTCCAAGGTGTTTAATATGTTGTAGCAATGAGAGAGTCATGCTGGCATTTACGTGGCTAATAAAGCATACGTTTGATCAGGGAAAGCTCATTTTTGGTAACATAATGCATTTGCCCCCAGTAATCGAGTAGGCACTAAAACACAGCAGAAATCTAAGGGGAAGGTTTGTCTTTTGGCTGCTAAAAGCTCTCAGTTAGGGCATCAATCATAGTCTGTCTCCCAGGGCTGCTACAGTTTTCTGGTCACTCTTCAGAAAGTCACCAAAGTGTTTGAAGGCAGTTGTCCCCCAGTGTCACGTGGCTGCAACAGCACTGCCTTCATCTGTCCCTTCTGCTGAAGCAATGGTTGTGTGAAGAGCTGCTGGCACAACAAGTCTAGGCACTATTCTGCAGAGGATAGCAACTTGGGCAAAATCTCTCCTTCTTCAGAGAGCAGTCAGGTCTGTAAGGTGTTTCGGTGAACCAGAAATACAAGATTTGTTCCATAAGGCCTTGACCATGGCTGCCCAGGGCACAAACACTCCTTCAGACACGCACGTGGAAGCAGCAATGGGTATTACAGGATGTGCAAGGACCAGTTCCGCAAAGGGAATTCATACTCCAGCACCCCACTGCCACCACCACCCTCAGCATAAGGAATTTAGCCAGTTCAGTAGAATTTAGCTAACTGGTTTATGAAATAACATCTCCCTCCAAGGCTGCCAGTAGACAAAGGAGACTGATGTCCCTATACCTTGAGCAGAAATGGCTAAGACAGCATAAAACCTCATTGTATAGGACCAACTCTGTACAATAAACCTACAGCCAGTACAGAGGCAGGACAGGACCATTAGGATTAATGGAGCATATGTATACCTTATAGCTAGTTTTTCTTGTTCATCTTGCTATCCTCCCTTTTACTGAAAAATGCACAAGTACGACAAGGCAGGTACCAAGAAGGAGATCAGTTGGGTTTTCTGGCTCAACCAGTATCTCCTCAGAACTGGCCCTGCAGAAAACTGCAAAGCAGATATATCTCCCTCTAAGCAGTTGCTACCAGCAGAGACAAAAAAATGCTACATTTCTGGACCTGGATCTAGAAATAGAAGACTTATGACAGGAGGGCACCACATTTCAGGCAGATTCCCTTTTGGGAATCCCAGCTTTTCCGGTTACCCGCGTGAATACAGACCATATCACTAGAGCACAGGGATAATTGTGCTTATTCAGCTGGCTGACAGGAAAAAAAATAAAGGACAAGAGAGGCCATATTGAAGCCCCAAATGTTTGCACAACACTCCTACTGATGTCAATAGGAGTTCTGCAAACAGGAAATGACCCTTGAATCCAGCAAGTGGCTTAGGGCATGGGGAAAGGGGAGAATACACCATATGAAGTACCAAATTAAGCACTGGAAACATGCATAGATCTTAACCCAATTCTTTGAGCATACATAAACGAAAATAGCAATAGCGACCTTCCTTTGAAGACTGCTGGACAACAAAAGTGGGTTTTGTAAACCACAGTCCTGAAACTGAGGTCTTCCACACTTTAACTCAAGAGACTTTCTAATGTTCCCACTGATACATGTTAATATTGCCTACTTGGCAATTTTTAGAGGGATTACATATCTCCCCACATAATCCATACTGTTGCATTAGCATAAAAAAGATCAGGCTTAGGTTCACAAAATCAGTTTTCTATGTTGTATTATGTATCTGTGTATATGTTGTACATGTGTATCTATGTTGTATGAGGTATTTGGCTGCTTGATGGCTCAGTTTGGGGATAGATTTCACCAGCTACAGAGTGATACAGTTCATTGCCTCAAACCAATTTACACAGCCAAGTGTCTCTTGCACTTACAGTTCATCCCCATGCAAATATGAGGCTAATTAATCATTACAGAAAATTAATTTAGTATTTCAGACCACGAGCATCCAAAAGACAGTAAAATACATATATGACCGTACTCAGATGGGGTAACAGGGACAGAGAAATTAAGTGGCATGAGCTGTGCTGTAGAGGAAGGCAATGGTAGAACCAGAAGCACTGCCAGCCACTCAGTGAGTCTCTCAGCAATGAGCAGCTGTTTGGGACACCTTTGTGCACTGATACACTCCTACTCTTTGGTCAGCCTGATCTGCTTATTTGTAGTTCAAATGAGATAAAAGAAAATAATGAGCATAAAAACATCAGCCATGTTCCCTTCAAACTAGCATCGAGCACTCAAAAACTCCGCAGCATGCATCTTCCAACCACTTGCATGGAATAGGAACAATACTGCAACCCAGCAGACAGCAGGCACCACACATCTCCTGATGGGAGTGATTCAGATTGGATGGAGTTAGAAACAGATTGTGCCCACTGGTAAAAAAGAAACTGTAGTGGAGACAGAGTTAATATTAAATGGAAAACCAAAGAGGAAATAAAATGCTTTGATGAAAGATATATGGGTCATCTGATGTAAGCCCTTGAACTCAATTTACGCCATGAAAAACCTCAATCAAAATGGTATTTTATGCTAACTGCTTTGCCCTCGACCTCTGAATGTTTAACTCCAGTTACTACACAGAACTGCTATCAAAACAAGACTGCTCCCAGCCAAGCTTCATAAACATGCAGTTCATCTCTGTGGAACTCGATCAGTGAGAATTTGGTCCTACTTCCTCGCAATTTCTTTATATATAAATGTTTTGGTATTAATTTTGAACAATTCATTGTCCCTACAACTTATTCCAGCAAATACGTTGATTTGTGGCTAATGGTACCCAGAATTCATTGGTATAGCATGGACAGGGCTCAGATACTTGTGCTTTTATAGCACCAAACTGCTTGGATTATATTTTTCCCTCGAAAAATACTTTCCAAACCTTGTTTACCCTATGTTTTCCACTGTCGCTACAAGCAAAACTCCTGAAATGGTGAATTACAATCTCAGCCCTGCAATTATAGCAATTGCAAGGAAAAAAACAAAACTAAAGAATCTGTACTTGGATGCTGGAAAACAGGATCCCTTTGTAAAATAAAGCAAATAATAGCAACTTAACCTGAAGAAAGCTGAACTCCCCCTGGCGTCAAAGAGGGCAAAGAAGTCACTCAAAGCTCTGGTACAGAGATCATCTATGAATCCTGCATCACTGACTCATCAGCACTAGCAGGCATGGACTGCAATTTTCTGCTAAAACTAAATCAGTAACAGGTCATTCTCACTCAGGTATCTAAATCTGTAAAGAAATGCGGCTGCAAGTGTGACTAAAACAAACTGTAGTCCCAGTTTCCAAGACAGACTGCAACTAGCAAAGCCAAAAACATACAGCTGGAATAGAGAGAGTTCCCCCATACTGAGTTTTTCCATCTGTCTCAGATTAATACAGGTTAGACTACATCTTTCCAAGCCAACGCTTGGTGGCAAAGCTAGAGACAGGGGCAGAGGGTACTGATGCTGAGACTCTGCAATGATTTGATTAAATGGTCTGACCTTGACCAGGGCAGTATCTGATCCTCAGCTGACAAGGGTTTAACATCCACAGGGCTCAGATGGAAGAAAGAGCCTGAAGAAAACATCTGTGGCAATGGAGAACAGCGGTGGCAGTTTCACAGCAGTCTCCCTTTACCGGGATGATATTCAACATTGCTGAACATTAGTCTTAAACCCGGTGCTAAAGGTCAGCAATTTGCTGAACCCCTTTTCCTTCCATGCTCTCAACATTGGCCATAGCTGCACCACCACAGGCAACACAGGTTCAAGATAGCTTCAGAGTTGGTGACCAGCCTGGTCTCTGGTCACGTTGTAATATTGGACACATACATACAAGAGCCCCTAAAGCATCTCTGTCACTACTTGAAATGAAGAACACATTTTGCAAGCAAATCCCCAGTGTAGCTGAGGCCACAGCAGCCTCCTGCCTGCCTGCCTGCCCTGGTGCTCCCCTCGCACAGAGCTTGCCACAACCCTTCTTCCCTACCTCAGGCAGGGAACAGAACGGTAATAAATATTTGGAAAACCACATTAAATTCCTGAGATGCAATTTGTCTCCCAGCTTCACTGGAAGCTTCAGGGGCACCAATAAAAACCTGGGCGGGTGTTGATACACTGTAACTTGTATTTTGAACAGACATTCCCTGAGCAACAGCAAATTTATGCAATCTCCTCCTAGGCTAGAGTTTGAGCAACTCTATTTTACAAACAAGAGTAGTATCTAGCAAAGTAGTAACCACCCAGGTCCAGAGAGTTCCTGCTTGGTGATTCATAAAGCAATTGCATCTATTTTAAAGAGGATTTATAGACTGTTTACTTTTTAAACTTTTATTGTCTTTAGTAATTAACGCACATTAAATGCAGGCATGACCACTTAGTTTGGGGACAAAAGAACTGAAAGTCAACAATTTGCTACGGATGAAAAATAATTTAGTTCAACATGGGAACTCTTTCACACGCTCAAAAGGTACAATCTGTAACAGTTTAACTGATTTCAATTGCTTGAATTTAGTCAGCCATCAGGAATTCTAGGCAACTTCTGATTATAGAAGATTATCATTATTTCAAGCTCAAAGTTACATTTTATTCAAATATTATTTGCTACACAACTACAATATCCTGCTTGGTTTTTTTTGATTTGGTGTTACGTTTCAAGGGCCACTTGCACGATGCATTTTGTGGTTTTCTGCACAAAACACCGGTACGATACACTAATTTCCAATTAGGACACTGATGTTCCAGACCAATATGACTCAGGCCTTACTTAATCTAGCCAAGCAGTCTGCTTGCCTTTCCAGCAATTAATTAAACCCTAACCTTATACTAAGCAATATCCTCAACAAAAGTCGGTGGAAAGAAAAAAAAACCAACTGCAAGTCGTCTTTCTCAGAATGGATCCACACAGCACTAGACAGAACCAGCCTGGAAACTGTTTGATTATTAAGCCAAGCTGGCCAATAAAAATTCCATTTAGCAACTTTATATGGACATCCTAAATAGTGCACAGATAAAGGCAAAGGAA